CAGGTTGTGCTCTCACTCTTGCTTTAGATATGTGCAACACAACACGAGTTGCATGTCTAAAAAAATGAAAAAAATTATTGTTTATCTTTGTCTCTCACTTTTTAGGACCTTTCTACATATGTCATAACATCTTTAAGTGGTCCTAAGGAATAAAATTCTTTTCTCGATTTGTTTTGTGGTCCAAACCAAAAGAAGGAAAAACTTTCCTTTTTTTGGACAAACATTAGTCAGTCCCTTGTTGGCTAACTTGGCACTATATTACTGAGCAAGAAATCCTTCATTATATAATACCCTTTCTTGCATGTATGAATCTAACCTTTTGATATTTTGTTTCATGATACCCTGAAATTCTTAAAGTATTCTTTCTCTTAAGGTTCAAAGGTTCATTTCCCTATTTTGTGTCAAAACCTCACCATATCAAACACGTTATTGATGGCTCTTGGAATGTGGTTTCTTTGCTGATGCTGGTGCGTGGTGTCAGTCTTGAAGCTTGGTGGCTTACAAGCTGTTTTCGGGTATGTTCCCGTCATGAAGAAGATCCAAGGAGTTGCACGTTAAGGATTCAGAGTGTGGTGCTAAGTGTAAAGTTGATCAGGGAATTTTTATTTTTTCTTTATAAACTTTACTTTTAAAATTTTTGTGCATTTTAAATGTTTTGTATGTGTGGCAAATTCGATTACATTGATACAAATATAATAACCAAAATTGACATATCTTATTCATAAAATATTTTTATAATAAAATTACAATAATTATTGATTATGCTTAATTTAATTAAATAATTATTAATATAAATAAATTTACAATCTTTATTAGGTTACTTCACCAACTTCACTATGTGAGTTATACTCCCAAGTCCATATCTCTATGATCCGTATCCCAATATGATGCAAAGGTTGGAAAGAATTTGTCTTTTCTTATACTTGTTCAGCCGGTTGCCAGTTTTTATTGAAATAATATTTCACCATTAGATAATTTTATCAGAAATCAAACGGCTTCTCTTTTCACGTTAAGCGTTACATAGTATGTCCCAAAATTTAATGCTCATAAATCCACTTGGATCACTTATATTTAGGTCTTCAGACAAGTAGGTCTATTTACAGGGAAAACTTTTATACTTTATCAGGCCTTCTAAAAATTCAATAAAGGGCTACTATATATGTAATATCCGAGCCATTGGTACTCTTGATTTACTTCTAATGATGAAGTTATGGGTTCAAATACTCTTGACAAATCGAGGGGACGAGCTTTGAAACCCACTATTTGAGGTAGATAAGAGATAGCTTAACGATATCTTGATAGTGACTCTTATAACTATAATGCCTAAATCCCATAAATGTTCAATGATATGCTGATTCTTTAATATTCATTTTTACTGGATTTATATTTCCTGTCACGATATATGATTTTTATTATCTTACTAGGTTGATATTACAAGAAAATCCCTAAAAACCATTATTTGATGAGTAAAAGAAATTGTGATTAAATACGAATTTAGAAAAAAAAAAAAAAAATTCCTGGATGCAAGATATTAAAGGGTTATTTTATTAAACAAGATGAAGAGAAGAAAATAAGCAGTCCAAGAGAAGGACAAACAAACTAAGGATACACAAAACTTCAAGTCACGATCATTTTTATTTATAGAAAAAGGAAAAAAACTGAAAATTGACTTGAAATTCTCTTCTTCTTCATTATCAAAGCCTTTGCATGATTTCAAAATAACTCTGTCTTCATTATTAAACAGTAAGGCAGCATTCTTTCCAACAGTTTTCTCTGGAATTTCCGCAGCTAAAATCCCAACAACATCGCCCTCGTCTGGCAGCCATAAGGTTTTCTTGACGGGTTTAAGAGAAGATAGCAGGCTTATTTTAGACTCTCTTTGTTTAGCAGAAACTGTAAAAGATGAACATAAGAAGAAGAAGAACACGAGAGAATGAATGAAAAGGAAGATTAAATTAAATCTGAGCTGCATCTTCTGGGGATTTTCTCAGGCTAAACTTTGTTAATGTTTGAGAAAGGTTGAATTTGGATGATATATTGAGAGAAAAGCCTTTGTATATTATAAGTAGAAAGGAAATGAAGCAATAATTCTCCTTGGAGAGCAAGCTGATTGTAATGTGAGAATCTGCATTCTGCAGGTAAATAAAACACCAACCTGGACTACAATATTTTGTTTAAACATTTATGGAACTTTCGAGAGAATTACATTTTCATCCCTATAGTTTTGGTATACTACTGAATGATATTATTTCAAATACTAGTACTTTAGTTCTTTGACTTCATAAATAGTTAATAGACTGTTAATTGAGTAAAACATTATACTAAAATGATAAAAATACCTCTCTAAAAAACAATAAAGATGAATTATATATAATATACTATTGTAATTTGAATTATTTTCCTTAAACAAACACGTTATATACTGGTGTTGTTTGTATAATGTCTTTTTCAATTTTTTTTCAGATGATATTTTTGTCATTTTAAGTCTAGTTTTCAAGTCAATTAGCAGTTAACTAATGATATAGTAAGTTAAAGGACCAAAATAATAATATTTGAACTGAATGTCCTTATTAGGCAACTGAAATTAAAGGGATTAAAATATAATTTTATGGTCATCAAGTCAAGTCGGATCCATTTGCATTTAACAGAAATACTATGTTTACTAACAAGTTTTATTCACCGTCTTATTACTTTTGTTAAAATTACACATAGTACTTGTACTATGTGTATGGTACCCGTATTATGCTTACAAAGGATAGTAAGATGGTTAATAAGATGGTGAGTAAGCATGACATTACTCGTGCATTTAATTATCCTAGGACTTGGTCTATGTCTTTATTATTTTTTCCTATTCTTTAAAATTAACGGGATTTAAATTTTTTTTTTTAATTTCCGAATTTGAGGCAAGCAAAGCATAATCATGTTTAAATTTTTTATTTTGAATATTTTTTTTCTCAACGAACTTGAAATTAATCTCGCACTCCATATATGTTTTGTTATTGTCTTGGGTATCTATTTTATATTTGTTTCGTTTTCCTCCTCGTTTAATTTCGTTCATAGACTATTAGTCTACTGATGGTTTTCAGAGTATATTTATGAGTGCATTTGACTTATTATTTTTGCCCATATTCTCAATCCTATTCTTTAAATAATGTTTGGCACATTATTCTAGAAATATTACCCTATTTTTTTAATTACTTTTAGACCCCATAAGGTTATTAATTTCATTAAATACCCCCGAAAAAAAGTTTAAAAATTAACAAAAACATCCCCGTGACCCATGCTTGCCAGATTTCGGCAACCACCGTTGGTGGTAGCCGGAATCTGTCACAACGGTGAATTACCAACTGGAACTGGCCGGTAATTCACCGATCTGGCATTTTCCAGTCAAATTTACAATGGATGTGGTCGGAAAAGGCCAGATCTGGTCGTCGTTGACGGTCAATGACGACCATATCTTTGGCCTTTTCTGGCCATCGACGGCCACATATGGCCGTAGATCTGACCTTTTCCAGCCAGATCCGTGGTGGATCTGGCTGGAAAAGGCCATAGTGACGCCATACCGGCCAGATTCGGCCGGTATGTGTGGTTATGTAATTTTCCAACTAAATTCCGACGATGGTGGCTGGAATCTGGCACTGCAGCTGGTGGGGGCCTTTTTGTCATTTTACATATTTTTATATATTGGGGTATTTATTAAATTAGTAAACTTAGGGGGGTTTTTTTATAAATTTATAAATTTTACCTCGTAACACTCCCACATTCAATTATCCAATACTATCCCCCAAAATCCTATCCAAAATAATAAACCAAACACACCCTATATGTGACAAAGACTTAATTTATTAGACATACATATGAATCAGGTAAAGCATTAAAATTTATTGTATGTAAATTTTAATGCTCATAAAATTTCAAGTCTTCAGACGGTTAGGTCTATTCACTAGGAAGACTTCGACTTTATCAAGTCTTCTAAAATTTAAATAAAGGCCACTATTCTAACCTAATGGACACGCAAGAAAAACTCAGCAAGAGCTTTCATTGTCGCCATTAGCATCTCTTAGTAGACCAAGACAAATCTGTTACATATACCTGTCAACACAGCCTAAATCCCAAATGTTGAAAAGAAAAAGAATAAATGTTGAAAAGAAAAAGAATATATATATATAATATGACATAAAGCTATATGTACTAAACTACTTATATAATTTTTTTTCATACAATTTGATTATATAGAGTCCCTTCCTTTTATATGCGTCCATCCATTCATTTTGTACAATCATTTTTTAACCTTTTCTTGCTTAAATCCAATGGTCGTGAAGGGAAATTTCTTTTTTTTTTAACCGGAGGTGTTTGGGCCAGCTTATGTGTATCTTAATTAATCTTTCAGGGCCTTGAAATTGACAATCGGATAAATCATTTCAATAGTCATTCCTATCAAGGCATGTGAGAACTCGAACTCAGAAACTCATGTTTGACCTCTTTGCTCTTATACCCTCAGGCTACCTAGAGTAAAAAAAAATTCAAATTAAGTAAAAATTCTAAATTACAATAATCTAACCGACAAATACAAAGTTGAGATCTCAATTTATGTGCCACCCGAAGTAACTTTTCAACTCAGCTGGCAGTTTTACTATTGTAATAGCAATTTTATTTATTTTTTTTCTTTTCAATTTGTGGAGGCTAGATTGATTTCCAAGGTAATTGATATTATCATTCACCATAAAAGACGGATTGCCTTTGCTATTAAAATTATTTACCTTGACACTTCTAGGTGTCATGTTTCTTCTTCTTGTTCTTTTTTTTTTTTTTTTTAAAATTAATAAAACTTTTTTTTCTACCATCGAGGTTCTATATGTATACCTAAAAGTATAAGAATATAAATACAACAAATTTAGATATACAAGCTTAGTATTTTTTTTATTGAATATAACATGTTGAAAAGAAGATACATTGAAGATACATATACCAACAATTCCCATATGAGATTATTTATCTACCTAGAGAGGGGAAGTGGGACAAGGAGGAATAGAGACATCCGTAATCCCTTCTAACATCATCACTACACTCTTCATTGAAGGACGAAGAGCTGCTTCATCTTGAACACACCAGAGCCCCACCTTAACCATGTTCTCCAATGTCTTCTTATCTACTTCTTCGCCATGGACAAGCTTATTCAACTCTCTATCAATGAAGCATTTGTAAACCCAATGAATAAGAACTATTTCTTCTGGTTTTGATACATTAACATCCAAATTTTTTCTGCAGCAAACAATTTCAAGGAGCAGAACTCCGTAACTGTAAACATCTACTTTCACTGATACTGGGATATTCTTTGAGCATCCTGGTGCCATGTAGCCTCTTGTCCCTCTCACCAATGTGAATGTCCTTGTTTGGTCTGGCATTAACAGTTTTGCCAGCCCAAAGTTGGAGATTTTAGCCGTCCAAAAATCATCCATCGGAATGCTTTGCGGCTTTATATCACAATGAATTATAGGTGCTTCACATTCATCATGGAGATAAAGGATTCCTCCAGCAACTTCTAATGCAATTCTTACTCTCTCATTCCAATCAGGGGACCTTTCAGCACGAAATAAGAGATCTGCCAGGGAGCCATTGCTCATATATTCGTACACAAGAAGCCTCTTGGAGTCCTCATAACAATAACCAAGCAATCCCACTACGTTCTTGTGATGAATTCTACCAATCACAAGCATCTCTGCCCTGAATTCTCTTTCACTACCATCATTCACCAACCTTTTCACAGCAACAAGTTTTTCGCCTCTGTGAAAACTCCCTTTATATACTGCACCAAATGAGCCCCTGCCCAACTCTTCTCTAGACCCTTTGGTGGCCTTTTTAAGCTCATAGTATGAAAACGATCGCAGAGTAAGCTCATCGTTCAAGCCAAATTTCCCAGTTTTCAATAGCCTTTTGTATTTCGCAACTCGGTACTTAAAAATGAAAAACCCCGAGATTGCCAGAAAAACACATGAACCTGTAATGAAGACCTAAAGACAAAACCAGAATTAGTGTTATTGCCTTTTTGCTTGTCACTACTCTAGTTGTTTGTGGCTGCACTGGAAAAAAATTGACACCATTATTATTGCTGGTGATATTTCTCTGGCCCGTCTTGAAATAAGCTATGAAAGAGGACGACTCTCCTTGATCCCTGCTGGCAGATTTCAATGGAAGCTTTTGTTTTGAGCAAGAACTTGACTTATACAACACCGCATCACAATTGCAATCCTCTAAGCAAGATCTTTTGCAATCTTCTTCTCCCATATTTTCATTAGAATAGGGATAATCATCCCATGTCATCTTCTCCATCAAAGTCATGTTATATAATATTTCTCTACTTCTATTCATACCTTCGCAGGTTTGATCAACGAAGCTTCTCTCACATCCACCAGACATTTCACTAGAGTCAACAAAATCAGTCCCTGGAAGACACCGGCATATCGGTTGATCATTATACAATGTGCAATAACTGTTCAAACCACAGAAAGTCTTCACATGACACAGATCTTCTGGTTCTTTCCACTTCACAGTTGTGTTATACACACCCTCGGTGACATAGAAATAATAATACAAACGAAAAACTCCATCAACGTCCAGCGTTATGCGGCTGATGATAGTTGAGCTCTTGCTCGAGCCATTTCATTAAATGGTCCACATACATCTGAATGTACAACTTCTAATAATTCTTTGGATCTTTCCTCTTTACCCTTAAAAGATGATTTGGTCATTTTTCCTTGAAAACAAGATTCACAGGTTGGATAGGGTTCTGAACTCAATAGGCTTAAAAGCCCATTTGCATCTAACCTAATTATCCTTTTATCTCTTATATAGCCTAATCAATGATGTCAAAGTAATTTTGGATTAATATCATTTTGAGATCTTTTATTTATAATGATATTAATTATGTCATAATCGTTCATTACCAAAACATACAAATCATTTGTATTAATTGCTTTGCCAGCTAATTAATTTCCAAAATAAATTAGACATTCATTTGCATTAAACTGTATTGTGTAACTAGATTTACATAAAATAGAAACATAAATGATATTTCTAGTTTCTTTAGCCTAATGCAAAGTTCTATACAAATACAAAATGTGTCCTAATGGCAATGTTAAATGGCAAGTCCCTGTTGTCTTGGCCGCAACTTTTGCTCCATTCGCCATCTTCAAAATGACTTCACTTTTTAACAATGCAAAACTATTATGCAGTGCTTGTAATGAAACATAATTGTGAGATGTAGCAATTGAATCTAATATCCAGGAATGATCATTTGAATTAATATTTAATTCAAATTCTATAACATAAGAATGGAATAGACCTGCTCGAGCTTTCTTAAAGCTCTTCAGATAAAAAGGATAATTCCTCTTCCAATGTTCATCTTTCTTATAGTGGAAACACTTTCCTTTATCATCAACCTTTTCTTTGCCCTTCTTAGTCTAGAAGCATCCTTCGTAAAAAGGTTTTTTATGTGGTCCAACTTTTGGACCTTTCTTTTGCTTCCATTGCTTCTTCTTAGTCTTACTAGAAGAAGCTGCAAAAACATCCTCTTACCCCTTCTCGGTCTTTTCAGAATTGAGAATAATTCTTGAATTCCTTAACCAATTATTAAAATTTAGTCCCATAAGCTTGTTGTCATTGAGAAACCTCAAAAGTAGGTTATTGCTCATTTTCATTAACTAAATATCACAAAATACCGAAAGAGACTGCAAGGAAAAATATAAGTTTTATTAGTGTCTTGTAAATTTAGACCCTTTAATGCTAATCTTATTAGCTTCCACTATTTTATTCAAATCCCATACTCCCCTAAATGACAATTCGGAAATTTTGTTGGAATAAATTTATAGTAGGGAATCAAATTCCTATTAAATGTAATTAAACCTCATATAATAGAAATATTGGTCAATTAAATTTAACAACTAGGAAACTATTCCCTTTTATATCACTATATAAGGTATGATTCATTCCTTGCCTCTAGTTTTGGATACCTCACATAATAGAAATCTTGGTACCCTAGACTACTTAAATCCAACCCATATGCTTTCTTAAAATAGAATTCCCATTATACCTTCACATAATATAAATCTTGAATATTATGAAATTTTCTATATAAGAACTAAGACAATTAATTCCATGTCATAAAATTAGCATGCTTACATAATAGAAATATTGAGATCTCTGATTTTATGCCAAAGAATTAATTGGCCCAAAATGAAAAGGCTTGGATCTAATATTGTTCATTAGGGAGATTATTAGGTTTAACTTTTGATTAAAAATGTTCTATATTTATCACATACATTAATTCAAATGCATCCATATAAATATAAAACATGGTGGGATGATCATGGGGTTTTTGAAAATACATCCTAATTATTAAACTATTCACCTAATTCTAATACTCCTTGCGGATCTCCATCCTTCGTCCAGTCGTACGATTACATAATCCAATTTAGGACACACTAGTCTGGATAACAAACAAATAATAAAATTAATTATTATTAAAAACCATTGAAAGAATATTACATGCCCAATATCAAATATTTTGGGAAAAACAAATTTACATCCATGATCATCCCCTAATTAATAAACAAATATTAATTCAATCAGGGCGTATAAATGAATATTTATGCAAGTTGCAATATTTATAAATCATGGATTCATGAAACAAATAAATAAAAATATGCCATCATTGCATCAAGCTACATGCATAATTTTACTATCATTAAATTTATAATATCATTATATTATCCATCATATGAATATAAAATATAATTCATAAAGAAAAATATATATTCTTAAGGTCTTCATGCAATAATTACATGAAATATGTCATGATTAAACAAAGTGTACATGCATAATTTCATCACCCTAATATTTATATAATATCTTATATTATCCATCACATTAAATAACTCTCACATCACATTCAATCAAATTAAAAGTGATCGTTATCTTATACATCATAATGCACCGTTTCATCATCCAAGATGAAAAAATGTGATGGGCAAATATTAATCAAGCATATCACGTTAATCCATTCTAGCTTCATTTAATCGATCTTAACCATCATCTAAACTTAAACAAAGTTTAAGTTCGTCGTTATTTACTAAAAAATGAATCAACCAAGTTGCATTCATAATACAACTTAAATCAAATGCATTTATATACTCTTATATCATACACAACAACGTTAATCATGTATTCAAAATACATCATGCATTTGAATAAGGTTTGGCCGAATACATCCATTTTTGAAATCATTAAATATGCATCAACAATGCACAAATTACACATGCATGTAACATATGAATGAGATATATTAATATTTAATATAAAAATGCATCAAATCTAACATGCATGTTACATATGACTTTAAGAACAAGAAATTTTGTATTTTAAATATCAAAATTTCGTACAAGCACTTTAATAAGCATGAATATCATGTATCCATCATCATTTGTATTCCAAATACACAACAACTTGAACGTGCATCTAAAGCCGAAACATATGCATGTCCAAAAGAAGCCATTTTTCACAAAAAATGCTACATGCATGCATGAATTTAAACAAGCTCTGATATCATTATTGGCAATCATGCATTTTGGAATGGAAATTGTAGCACCCACGTCAAGGTATATATGTAACTTTATTAACGCCGTAATTCCCTTAGTTGTAATATCTACTCCAAGATGAATGAGTGAAAGTTAGCATGAGACAAATTTTTCATATTTCGCTGCGGCAATGAACTCACCGCCAAATCCGAGCTTTTAAAAATTCAAACTTCGTCGTGGCAAGGAAAGAAGGTCGCTGCAGCAATGAACTCTTTGGAATTTTTGAGAAAATTCTTCAAAATTTGATTAGGGGTAAAATGGTAATTTCACCCATAATTAGATGAAAGAGTGGGGAGTGAATGGAAGCATATTATTATAGAGAAGACAATAGAAATGAGAGAAATATTGTAATTGACTAAAGGGCAAAGATGGAATTTCTTAGAAAGTGCAAGGCTAAAATAGGAATCTATAAATATTATTATGTAGTATTAAGGATTCAAGAGAGGAAACCCTAGCCATTTCACCCTTGTTCACGCCACCCTTCTTCCCAAAAGCTCTCAAATTTTCTTCAACAAATTTCAAAAGAAGTTCATGGGATTTGGCTCAAGTTTGGTAGATTTTTAGTCCTAAGCATCCATAGGTAAGATTCTAGCACCAAGACATGAGATTAAATTTTAAAGTTTTGAGTTCTTATGGTCTTATATGCTATAGATTCAAGAGGAAGAGAGCTGTAGCAAAGCGGAGTTATATCATTAGTATTGCTCAAATCTAAGGTAAGTAAATTCAACTCTAACTTTGATTTGATCAATAGTTGTGTAGAGAGATTTCTTGCATATTGCATGTGTTTGGATGATGAGAATTATAGATTGAGCTAATGTTGAGTGATGTGTAAACCCAACCATGAGAAGTGATTTATTAGTATGTGATGAATTGGTGGAAGTTTGGATGAAGTATGAAGCGATTGATGTTGAATTGTGAACTGTGAATTCCTGGCCAGGTTTGATGTTGGCTTTAGGTAGTTTTGCTCCAAATTTTGGTGGCTTGGGATAGATGTGGAAGTGTAGCTAATTTAGTGTTTGTGTGTGCATGCAAATTGTTTGATGAAATTTCAAAGTGAAGTGTATGCATGAGTATGTTAGTTTGTTACCTTAATATGAACTTGTTGGTGGTAGAGAATGATACATTTATATGCCATACTGCATTCTTGAATTTGAGTTACTGAATTTAGAAAGAATAGCAAAGAATAAGCTTATCTACATGCATACATACATATATGAGAACACTAAAGGACAAAGAGAAAGAAAAGAAAAGAAACTATTTATAGATTCAATTATTAAATAACACATTTGAAGAATCTATAGAAACTGAATTTTATTTAAAAGAAAGATAATAAAAGGTTATTGCGATGGAGAACCCGTGAGTGACAGAGAAGCTAAAAAGTCCCACATGCACGCTGCCTTTAGAGAGTGGCCCTAGAATAGAAAAGCAGAATTTGTATAGTTCGTTAGAATTGTATGTAGATGAGGACTGTACCCAGAAAGAATTTTAAAATACACTCACACGGCCAGGGAATCCATGCCTCAACCAAGTCCGATCAGCAAATCAGAATAGAATAGAGAAAAGAAAGAGAAACAAAAAAGAAAGAGAGACAAATCAGAATAAAAAACAGAAAGAGAAAAGAGAAAGCAGAAAAAGAGAAGATAGAGAAAACAGAACGAGAAAAGAGAAAACAGAATAGGAGAAGAGAAATATAATGAGAAATAGAAA